TGCAAATAGTAAAAACATTAATCAATTTTTTTAAAAAAGTTATTATCTAAAATATATTTCTTAAATTGCTTTTATTGGTTTTTTACCAATCAAACAATTGTATTGTACCACAAATTATTTTTTTTACTGATCAAACATTATTTTATCCCACATTTTTTACATAAATTGCACTTATTCCGCTTAATATATTTTCTCGCACGAATAAATATTCTCGCCCAACAAATATTCTTTCAGAAAAAGAAAAAGAAAAGGTTACAAAAATAAATTAAATGCTGCAGTTTGCTCTGTTCGCTTGATCAGTTTACTTTATGGACGAGGTCCTCGTTGTAGATTTGACTTTGCTTAAAAGCGTAAGAAGAAAAAGAAGAGAAGACTAGTTCCTTGCACAGATCAAAACCCTAGTTTCTCGCTTGCGCTTTGCTTTCTCCTCGCTAGGTAAGTGATCAGAGTGTTGTTCAATGGCTGTTTACTGCTTCTTAGATTTTGGATTTTGCGATTCGTGGAAAGTTTTTTGGTTTCTGGGTTAATTTCGAGATTTTGACCGAACCCATTTGAATTCGATGTCGATTAGTTGGGAGGATTATATAAAGTTGTTATATTTTGTCTACTTTAGCAGATGTAGAGAACAATTTGTGATTTTGGGGTTTTTTTCTTTCTAGGGCAAGTAAAAGTGGAGTCTTTGATTCATCATGGATCTCTATTCAGTTTTCTTAAATCACAGAGACGATTACTTTAGAATTTGAAGAAACAAATTGAATCTTTGATGCTCATTCCAACTTTTGGAAGCTTATGTTTTCGAGTTAGTCTTTGTTTGTTCGAAGAAGTTTTTGTTGAAATTGTTGGCTAGTTTTATGAATCACCTTGTAGCTTCTGTTAGTGTTTCATCAATGTTTGTAACCATGAGTTCGTATACAATGTCTAGGTGGTTAACTTGATAGAGTTTGATTTCATAATGTCTAGTAATAGTGTGTAGAATGGTCATGCTTCGTGAGGCAAAACCTTGATTGTAATTTATTTGTTGCAGGTTTAGATTTTCAGAAAGAAAAACAAAAACAATCCTATCTTTGGATTCAAGTTCCTTATGGTTTGCAAAATGATATCACAAAAATGGTGAATAGAAGTGATTTGGTAGTGATTGGCATTTCGGTTGGGCTTGCACTTGGTCTCTTGCTCGCTCTGCTTTTGTTCTTTGCCATAAAATGGTTCAATGACCGCTCTCGCCTAAGGCGATGTGCTAATGAACAGAATGGCCCGACTCTACCTGTTCACACTGCTAAAAGAGGTGTAGTAATCCCTGATGATAGTGCAAATACGGCATCACCTGAGAATGCAGCAGTGACTCAGCATCAGTCAAGGTGGAACCACCATAACAAAGATCTCACTGTGTCTGCATCCGGCATACCTAGATATCACTACAAGTGAGTAATTATGTCCAGAGCTTTGGACTTTTTATGAATCTGTTTTTGGGTTTTAGTAGCTTATGGTCTTAAATTTTGTAGGGATATTCAGAAAGCAACACAAAATTTCACAACCATTCTTGGGCAAGGATCTTTTGGTCCTGTGTACAAAGCTGTTATGCCCAATGGAGGGTTAGCTGCAGCAAAGGTTCATGCCTCTAATTCAAGTCAAGGGGACAAAGAGTTTCATACCGAGGTAATTGTACCGATCCTCGCTCAATGCCCGGTTCTATGCATAATGGAGTTAACAGAGCTTTGTTGGCTTTCTTATATTCAGGTGTCTTTACTTGGGAGGCTGCATCACCGGAATCTTGTGAACTTGATAGGATACTGTGTCGATAAAAGTCACCAGATGTTGATTTATGAGTTCATGAGTAATGGAAATTTGGAGAACTTTTTGTATGGTGGTGAGTCATCCTTGATTCCTTTTACCGGATCTAGTCGCAACAGGAGATTGATTACTCTAGTGTTTCACAAGATTTCTACTTAGCTGTTCAGGTGAAGAGACGCGAATCTTGAGTTGGGAAGAGCGGCTTCAAATCGTTCTTGACATCTCCCACGGCATTGAATACCTTCATGAAGGAGCTGTGCCACCGGTTATTCACCGTGATCTAAAATCAGCAAACATATTGTTAGACCACTCCATGAGAGCTAAGGTAAGAGATCAAATGTTGAATTTGCTTACTCAATACTGTTTGGTTAGAGCTGTAAGATATGGTGTTTTTTTGGTAGGTCGCGGATTTCGGGTTGTCGAAAGAGATGGTTTTGGATAGAATGACTTCCGGGTTGAAGGGTACTCACGGGTACATGGATCCAACTTACATTTCGACTAAAAAATACACGATGAAAAGCGACATTTACAGTTTTGGTGTTATTATTCTTGAGCTCATCACTGCAATCCATCCCCAACAGAATCTGATGGAATACATCAACCTGGTAAGTAATAAATTAGAGGTGGGCATATTAATGACCGAACCAAACAAATTTTTTAAAATCAAACCGAAACTGAAGCAAGTCGAACTAAATGAACCGAAAGTTCATCAAATCGACCCAAAATTCAGTGATTATTCTGTTTGATTATTGGTTATGTTTTCTTGATGATCAGGCTTCTATGAGTCCAGATGGTATTGATGAAATAGTGGATCAGAAACTAGTGGGCAATGCAAGCATTGAAGAAGTGAGGTTAATGGCGAAGATTGCAAACAGATGTGTGCATAAGACACCAAGAAAAAGACCATCCATTGGAGAAGTCACACAGTTCATACTAAAGATCAAGCAAGGTCGGTCTCGAGGCAGAAGACAGGACACAATGTCTTCATCGTTTAGTGTTGGTGATGTGGAAGATCTGTCAAGGGTTATCAGCAGGATTAAGGATCAACATGTTGAGTTAGGGTTATTGGCTGGTGTTAAAGAAGAGGATCATCAAGAGAGGAACAATACAACAGCATTGTAACTCGTTTAACTCTTTAGGAAGAAGTATTTTTGTACATAATTTTTACCACATCGGTCTTTAAATCAAGTTTTGTCAAAAGAAAAAAGGGTTTTTGCTTGCTGACACAGAGAGGAAAAAAAATTATGTTAAAAAATCTCAACTCTTTATTTTTTTGTCTAAGCAATATTTTCATAGAAAAGAAAGAAAAAAAATAACATACAACCTAAATATATATGATGTAGAAAAAATTGCTTTGAACAGCACCCAAAATTGCTTAGTACATCACCCAAAGAGAATTTTGGCTGCGAGATTCAAATGGAGACCAAAAGCATGAATGATTGATATATGTGGTGTAGATTATTTTTTTTTGCTCTCCAGAGCATGTACAGCCGTAAATAATCAATGCCATTATTCGTCATTTTCTTGGATTACTAATTTTGTTTATGTAATCTTTAATCGAAAAAATCACTGCAAAAGTTATTTTGTCATCATGGTCATAACATCATCATACATATGGAAGAGTATATGAATCAAAATTACATTAAGCAAAATAAATTCTTTAAGTTCAAAACTATTCAAACAACACAAAGTTAATCGAAATATGTGATACAAACGACCCAACATCAACATAACTCGCAAATAAATATTCTTTATTAATAAAAAAAAAATGACAAACTAAACGAAATTTAAATCAAAAATACAAATTCTCTCTTTACTACAACAACATAACACTTTCTTTGTGATCCACAAAACAAAGTGCTTCCCCAATTAATCTAACATATTAGCATTACACTGAGTCTCAACTATTCTTTGACTATTTTTTTTTGTGTGATCATAATAGACAACATGCAAGTGCGCAAACATATCATAAAGCATCAAAACAATATCTCACCAGAATTATCAGTGCCAATTATGCGTGAAGGAGAAATCCAATGCATGTTGTCCCGTGGATGAATAGATAAACATATCTTGGACCATTCATGTTTCTTTGCATCCTCCAAAACCCACAAATCAAACGAATACCAACTAGTTTGCTTAGCTATGGCTACTTTTGCCATGTAACATACCAAATTAAACAAATATTGATTTAAATATGGTGGAACTGTAATTGTGAGGACACTAAACTTTCCATACTGTAAATGTCACTAAGTTAAGTTGATCCATCACATTTTTTTTTTCATGTAAGCAAAATAGTACAAGATTCCATCTATGCATAGACTGTTAGATATAGGATGATGAGGATCACTATATTCAATATTTCGCCACTTAGATGTTGATCTTAACGTCAACACTTGGTGTCCGCTAGGCGCGACTCAGATGCCACTTCCATACATTGCTTTAGTTATACATAGTACTTTGTACTCATCATCAACCGGATCATATCCGAAAAACTTTTTCTTAATTTCTCTCCTCGGTATGAGTGTAGGTAAAGTAATGGACTTACCGGTACTTGGATTAGTTATGATTTGGTGTTGACCATATTCGGAAAACATCAAGCCATTTACGTAACAGTGAGTGTCACCCTTGGACCAGAGCTCTGGGACATCGAATGTACATGATATGAGATCAGAAACAGTCTGGTCGATTCCTCCGAAGGAGAAAAAGAACAAATTTCGACGTTCGTTTCGGTCATCTTTGCGGTTGTAAGCTATGAGGAGACATGAAGAGGAGGATCGAAAAAAAAATGATCTGATAAAATCACGACTATGGATTATTGCTTTCCATGATTTTGACACGATGAGAAACTTAGCTACAGATTTTGCAGGCAATCTCTTGAAGATCTCAAACGCAAGATCCGTAGGAAATGGATATAGAGATTGTGTCTTCCTCGTTTTTTGATGAATGTTTTTTCTCATGGCTAATCTCTAAGAGGATCTTTATCGGTAATGAATTATATCTAAAGAATATAATACTAAATTTTAAAAATTTAATAAATTAAATAATTAAATGAAAAAGATTAATCCAATAAAAAAGCTATATGTGGCAACAAATCTCAACAACTGGTATCAATCAACTCTTCCCACTTATACGTTTCGAAAGAGTTTCAACTCAATAATAATATATTTTATTATTTTTAATCATGTTTAATCTAATGATACCAAAAAAAAATTACCGATAAAAGATGGTCTAAGGGTTTCTCAAAACCCTAATATCTTTTATTATATACGAGTGTCACAAACAATAATGGTGATATCTATAAAATCATATCTCTAATACCTGACTGGTAGTTCAGATCTTTTGTATTACATCTTTAACAGTTATGATAAGGTTAATTTTATCTATCATATAAAAATAAATGTTATAAATATATATTTTACACTATACAAAAATATGTGAGAAAAATATGATATCTGAAAAGAATAATACCGACAGTTAAAAAAGAATAGTACTATGATAAATTATATAAAACACATAAATAACCTCAAAATAACTCATATGTTGTATTTTATTTATGTTCAACAAAAATTAATTTTGATTTAGGCTGTGAATGTTATTTATGTTAAGATGTGATTTCGATTTAAGCATGGAAGCGATGTGGTTCATATAAGATGTGATTGGTCAAATTTATGTATTTTAAAGCGATTCAAGTAAGATCCATTTATCATGTGTTTCGGATTACAAAACAATTCGAAGATATATTCGATGAAAAAATTGTATA